AAAAAATACAAAAAACTAGCCGGGCGCGGTGGCGGGCGCCTGTAGTCCCAGCTACTCGGGAGGCTGAGGCAGAAGAATGGCATGAACCCGGGAGGCGGAGCTTGCAGTGAGCCAAGATCATGCCACTGCACTCCAGCCTGGGCCACAGAGCCAGACTCCCGTCTCAAAAAATAATAATAATAAATAAAGTATTAGCTGGGTGTGGTAGCACGTGCATGTACTCCGAGGACTTGGGAGGCTGAGGCAGGAGGATCACCTAAGCCCAGGAGATTGAGGCTGGGGTGAGCCATGATCACAGGCTGCACTCCAGCCTGGGTGAGAGAGCAAGACCCTGTCTCTAAAAAAAATAATAGCAGAAGAAAATGTAGCAATTGACAACTTTTTATTATATACTACTAAAATTTATTTTGCATTTTTATTGAAAAATTGTGTGCCAATATATGTTTAGTAAACTTTTAGTTAATGTTTCTATTTGTAGGTAAAACTCTGCTGGCACAAACCCTAGCTAAATGCCTTGATGTCCCTTTTGCTATCTGTGACTGTACAACTTTGACTCAGGCTGGATATGTGGGCGAGGATATTGAATCTGTGATTGCCAAACTACTCCAAGATGCCAATTATAATGTGGAGAAAGCACAACAAGGTATGTTTTCAGCGTGGTCTGTCCCCAGATTTAGTATATTGGGGAATCAGTCTAATATTAAGAGACAATACAATTCTTGTTTTGAGTCAAGGACTAAAATTCTGTAATTATGTAAAAGTACCTTTGTTACATAATTTCTAGCATACTGATTAAGGGCCACATAGTCTGCTTTGCCTTATTGTCACTAAGCTGGCTGGTAGGGTTAAAAACAAGCCAAATTACTATCCCATTAGATCCTTAATACTATCATTGCTTTTCTTAACTCCCCTCAAGACTTCTAATACTTAGATTAAGATAGGACAGGGCAGGGGCAAGGGAGGACGGTACCAGATGACTCTAGAAACAGTTTAGCCTGTTGACCTACAGGATGTCATGGATGCTGCGTTGCTCCTTCATCTATCATCTGTTCTTGTTTACATGAAGAGCATGACAGCTTCCTTTTCAAATTTCTTTAAGACAAGAATATAGGTGGGAAAGAGTAAGCTAAAGTTTTACTAATACTAGCACTGCAGATACCTCCCGCTTCCATACTATAAAGAATTCGTATACATTAGTGGGGCAAATCACTGTTGTCAAGGAGATTTTGTTACCATACATAAATGTTATTCTGTAGAGCAGATTACAAAGCAGTTGTACAAAATGATGGATGGGAGAAATAAAAGTGCATTTTTATAATGTCAAGCTATTGCATATGTTAAGAATGAAAGCTCAAGTAACTTTGCTCTCTAGCTACCTAAGTCTTTTAAAGCTGAGGCTATCTTGTGTATATCTTTTCCATATTATAAATAGAATCCTCCTTAAATTATAGGAATTGTCTTTCTGGATGAAGTAGATAAGATTGGCAGTGTGCCAGGCATTCATCAGTTACGGGATGTAGGTGGAGAAGGCGTTCAGCAAGTAAGCAGTTGAATATTTTGTTCAAGCCCACTAAAAGGAAGGGAATACATCAACCTCCCAAATATTGTACGTTTGGTTTCACATTCAATTAGATTCTGTTTTGTTTATTTCTTCCACCCCCAAACTCCGCATATCATTTTGAAGTAGTTTAGATCCTAAAAGAAAGTTGTTGACAATTTGAAATAGCAAATTACCTTGTTAGGAAATTTAAAATATTTTGAAGAACAGAAAAAATGAAATTTAATCTTTGTGTTTTTTTTTTAATTCCTCAAAGGCCCAGTTAAATATTTCTAGAAGACTCTTGAAGAAAGTTATGATTCTAACTAGACATGAATGAACTATGTACATGCTTCTTATTCCTTCCACTTAGTTAGAAGATAGGTATAAAATAATGTTTAATTCCTTGCAGAGCCATAATTGAAGTCACAATGATCTGTTGGCCAACTTGACCTTTTAATGGTAACTAATTATGACATAAACTATTAAAGAGTAAGGAAAATTGTTTCACTTTTTGACAGAGACATAGAAAGGTATAATCACACTTAGGTGCTGGAAATTTTTTTTTATAAAAGCATCTCGGCCGGGCGCGGTGGCTCAAGCCTGTAATCCCAGCACTTTGGGAGGCCGAGACGGGCGGATCACGAGGTCAGGAGATCGAGACCATCCTGG